GTTTTATAAATATTATCATGTAGATTATTTAATTTTGTACATAAAATTACTATAGATACTATTTATTATTATTATTTTTTTAATATTATTAAGTGTGCCTTCCTTGACTGAGGTGACACATTTTTGTCTAACTCTTGCCTTTTAAGGCGATAAGGAGATTTGTAGTGGTGTGCCTTGCCCTTTGAAAACATTGACAATAGTTTTTTTTCTTTTTTTTGATAAGAAACAAGACTTATATTATGAACCAAAAAAAGGGGACAGTCTAGAGGTAGGGGTTGAGGAGGCCTCCCAAAAGAACTACCGTATTACAGCTTGCCAATCTTGTTGAAATAGGACTGTACTGTAATTACAAAAAAATTTCTATGAGTAAGGCACCAAGAGGCTGTAGTAATCTGTATGTTCTCACAAAAAATATCAGAAGGAAGAGACGAGTTGTTGAAGGCCCTTAGGTTTCTTTCCTTCCAAAGCCCACATAGTAAAGCCCGAGCCGTGTAACTCCACAAAAAATTTCCTTTTCCTTTCAACATCCCCCCCGAGTTACTTCAATGAGCCAATCCTCAATTAACCGGGGTAGACGATCGGAAATTCCGCATCTTCGCATGACAAAGGCCCACCCTTGGTAGGCAAAGGGACAATGAATGAATAGATGATCAATATCTTCGGCATTTCTAGGGCATAAGGGACATACCGATAGGGACAGCACCCAATTTGAAAGCTTCTTCTGCACTCTCCATGTGTATTAAGACTTCTATAGGCAAGGCTCCGTAAAAACACTTTTACTTTCTTTGGGCAGGAGAATTTCCATATGGCTTTAATAAAAGGGGATAGGAACTTTGGAGTCACCTCGGTCAGCTTGTAAAAGGCAGATTTGGTGGAGAACTGCTTTTCCCCTTCCAAATTCCACATCAATTTGTCCTCCGCATTTCTAAACCGAAAAGAAGGCAGAAGAACTACCAACCAAATCCAATTATCAACCTCCTGATCTCTCAAGCCTCTTCTAAAACCCAAGTTCCAGTCGGCCTGCTCGTCTGACCAACATTCTGCCACTGTGCTTCCTTTCTTCATAGAGATTCTGAACACATCAGGGAATTGGGCAGCCAAGGGGTTATTCCCCAGCCAAGTATCCTTCCAAAACTTTACTTTCCTCCTATTTTGAGCCTTATAAGTGGTATTAGGGCTTAGATTAAAACAATAGTTTTGATTTTGACCAGAGGGTGGCTCTCTATTTTTAAGTTATTAGACTTATCTTCAAAAAGACATCAGATTGGCTTCCAGAAGTGCTTTTGGAGACAAAGTATGAATGTTAGAGAAGCATCAAGTGCTATTAGGGCTTTTATTTGGTCCTTGTAGATGGTCAGAAAACAATAGGATCTTCAATTATAATTTTTAGTTGATTGGAACTCTCGGAAGATAGAAGGTGCTGTCATCCAACTTGATCTTGAGAAAGCGTTCAATATGGTTGATTGGGATTTTCTTGACAAAGTGCTACAATACAAAGGATTTGGGACAAAGTGGAGAAGATGGATTAGGGCTTGCATCTCTACTACAAGCTTTTCCATTATCATTAATGGAAAACCAAGAGGCAAATTCACAGCCACAAGAGGTTTAAGAAAAGGAGATCCCCTATCCCATTTCCTTTTCATATCGATCACTGAAGTCCTTAGCAGATTGCTTCTACATGAAGAACAACCTGGCCAGCTCAAAGGTTACGTTTCTAGATGTGGCTCCATTAAAATTAACCACCTCCTTTTCGCAGATGACACACTACTATTTACAAGCAAGGATCCCACTAGTATAAAAAAACTGCATAAAGTCATCAAATACTTTGAAATTGCTTCGGGGCTCAACATCAATTACAAAAAATCCAGTGTTTTTGGCATCTCCATCAGTCCACAGACCACAAATCAGATTGCTTAGGCATGGGGCTGCTCATCAGGATCATGGCCAAGTACCTACTTGGGCCTTCCACTGAACGGTAACCCTAAAAGAGAATCTTTTTGGCTGCCTATCCTTGAAAAACTGCAGAACCGTCTCAACAAATGGAGCAACACTTTCATTTCGAAAGGGGGAAGGCACACCATCCTTCAATCTGTACTAACAAATCTGCCTACATACTACCTTTCTCTCTTCAAAATTTCAGGTAAAGCAGCTGAAAGGATGAGTAAGATCTTCAGGGACTTTCTTTGGGAGGGACCAACCACAACCAGAAAGCCACATCTCATTAATTGGAAGCGTACACAGCTCCCTCTTATGGAAGGAGGTCTCGGCATTGGCAACATAAAGCACTGAAACCAAGCTCTTCTATCCAGATGGATTTGGCGTTACATAACCGAATGCAATCAACTGTGGAGGAGACTTATTTCTGCAAAATACTCTGGCTCATCCTCAACCATTTGGCCTACCATCCGCTACTCAAGATTCAAAGGACCATGGTCAGCAATCTATCAAGCACCTCATTAAGGATGTAGCCATCTGCCATGTGGGGGAGAATAGCCAACTCAGCTTCTGGAATGACAGATGGATTGCACGGGGATCTTTTCTAGCCTTTTTCCGACCCTATTTGCTCTAACTGAGTATAATAAGGCCACTATTGCAGACCACTGGTCTAGATCCACCTCATCCTGGAACTACAACTTCCGCTGAGCTCTCAAGGAAGAGGAAATCGATGATTGGCTGTGCTTATCACAGATGATAAACCCGATTGTCCCTCCCCCCCTTGAGGACTTATGGTTATGGCCCCCTGGAAAAAACAGATTCTATTACACAAAATCTGTCTTCAACCTCATTGTTTCGCAAACCTCCCCCTTGGCCCCCACCCTCTACCCAAGTCTTTGGCAAGGAAAATGCCCTAAGAAAGTCAAATTCTTCTGCTGGGAGCTTAGTCATGGGGTCCTAAATACTCATGATAGGGTTCAGAGGAAACACCCCCACATGGCCCTTTCCCCAAATTGCTGTCACCTATGTTCTGGGGCATCAGAGACACAAGGCCATCTTTTCATCCACTGTGCATATGCCACTCGTTTTTGGAACCGTATTCTTATGGAATTTGGTTGGAAAACAGCTCTACACACTAGACCTTCCATTTTCCTTGACTGCCTCCTAACGGGACACCCTTTCCGAAAGGCCAAAGCTACCCTTTGGGTTCTGATAATTCGGGCTTACCTATGGAGTTTATGGCTGGAAAGAAATGATAGGGTCTTCAATGATAAATCACACTCTTTTGATAGTTTTTTTGATAGAGTTTTGCTATTAGCTCTTGGTTGGTGTAAAAGCTTCTACTACCCCTTTAACAACTACTCTTTTAATGACCTTATTACAAGTTGGAAGGTTTTCTTGTAATTACCCTTGCGGCCTTTTGTATATTTCATACCATCAATGAAATATTTGTTTCATATAAAAAAAATATCTTCTGGCAGATTGTACAGCATATGGCCTCAAATTGGAGTGTCAAACATTGGAATTTTTTTTATTACAATTGCTTTTTGATTAAATTTGATTGGTGGAGTTTTTATTTTTATTTTTTTTAATCCTCCTAGGATGAGGGATCTGATGTAGCCTTTTTCAACTTATCTTCCCCATAAAATGTGAAAGTGATTATATATTTTCTTAAATTGCTTTCTGCAATCCTGCTTATAGCAAACTCTCCTGCAAATGCCTTAGTCATCTTAATGAAGTCCCTAATGAACCATTAGTTTCTAAAGCAACAACAAGGCTGAGGCAAAGACAATGCAGTCAATTGCGTCCTTGTTGTGGCAAGGAAGTTGGTGGACATTAGCTTATTGTAGTGGAAGACGTGGTTAAGCGAATTTCTTGTGCTGGCGAACATGGCAAACTGAGGGCTTGAGAGCTTTTGCAGTGCTGCTTCTTTCTCCTGATGTTGAAGCTATTTGTTTGGAGCTTGATAAAATCGCATTTTATGTGACGAGCTCAATTGTCCATCCCTTCTATCTTTCAGTTAAGATCTTCAATCTTCCCGTTGATACTCTTTGAGCAACTATCCCCTTCTTCCTGCGGAAAGACATTTAGTTTGAGGATGCACTGTCTGAGGCACTTTCAACAATCTGAGCACTGGATTAGGAAGCAGATTGAGATATTTTCATAGGACACTCTCCTTTGGGGTTTGACTCCTATTTTTGTTATTCTCTAACCATATGTCTCTGTAAAATATAAACAGTTGAGATTTTAACTGTAAAATATAAGCAAGTTAATGGATGATATTATTTTGGGAAAAGTTGAACTTGTACACCTTGGGTGAGTTGATTTTAACCGTAAGCTTTCAATTTCATCCATTTAAACCTGAAGTTGAATGAGTGTTGCAATTTAAGCGGTAGACTTGAATAAGTGGTATAATTGTTCTTTTTCCTGAAGATTTGTTACTGGGGTATGGATGTTTTTCAAGGTAATGATTATTTTAATTGCATTGGATACTTTTAATTAGTTAGATTTAGGCATTTTGTTGCTAAATTTGAGTATTTTTTATTTGCTCGATTTTGTGGTTAGGTTAGAATCTTTTGTGGTTGGGTTTGGGTAATTTAATTCTTTGACATGATCTCGAGTTTGGTTGGATTTTGTGTAATTTCTTGGATGGTTTATGGATAGTTTTTAAATTTAATTTTGAGGAGGTATTAATTGCAACACTTACTAAAGTTAAGAGTTTAAATCGATGAAATTGAAAATATTTAAGTTTAAAATTGACTAGGTTAGGGGTAAAAATTGAATTATTTTATATTATTTTTTAAACTTTGCATCATAACATCTCTCTCCAAAATTAGAAACCTGCTCATTACAAAAATGCTGAGGGTTTTTCACTTCATTGCCCTTGACCCCAGCAGTCCTCTCCCACTTTGGTTGTTTACCAATTTCCAAATACTGTTAACCAAATCTTAGGGATGGTCCTGAAATCTTTATTTTACTCTATAATTAACTGACATAAAGATGTATGTGTGTGTTTTGCTGGCTTGTTTGTTAAATTTATGCTCAACATATTTATGCTTGTGAAGGTACATCCCATCATTACGAACAACATTTACCTTTCCCCAAAGCCTCGGGATCTTGGGAGGGAAACCCGGTGCTTCAACGTACATTGTGGGCGTTCAAGACGAAAATGCCTTTTACCTTGATCCACACGAAGTCCAGCCGGTACATTAATTTCCTTTGGACCTCTTTTAAGAGTATCTAAACTATCTGTGCTTTTGTATGTATGGTACATTATGGTGACACTAATAGTGAAATCATGAACTTGCTTAATATTGGGTTTCTAGTGCTTCAATGTGTACATGTTAGACACTTGAATTTAAAGTCTGAAATGTTAGACACTTGTAAATAAACCTTAGTTGTAACTATAAGATGTTCAACCCCTCAAATATTTATTTTGTTTTGGATATACTTCACAACCTTTGTTATAAAATATGGCATACTTGAATGGTTATGAATTTTATTTCTTTATTTAAGAAGTGCAGTGTGTAGAAGAAAGTTTCACATGTTAATTTTTTTTTTCTAAAACATATAAAATCTTTCTTTGAACAAGCGCGCATGCCCGTTCCCTATGCTGAGCGTTGTTGTTGCGATTTTCTCGTTCGTGTCATTTGCAGAGTGGCTTAGCTAATGACCGTGTCTAACAATGCTTGCATTTACATTTAGGTAGTTAATGTCGACAAGGATGATCTAGAGGCTGATACTTCATCTTACCACTGCAAGTGAGTTTTTTAATATTATAAAATTTCTCATTGTTTACCAATTCGCCCTTCATTCCTTTTCTTTTTGTTTCAGTTTCAGTTTCGGTTTCTCATATATATGCATCGTTTGTTTTCTGTAGTGTCATCCGGCACATCCCGTTAGAATCCATAGATCCTTCTCTAGCACTTGGATTTTATTGTCGAGACAAAGGTTTGCTTGCAGATCACTCTAAGCTTCAAAATTGTGGATGGGAACTTGATTGCTTTGGTTTTTCATCTTTTAGAAGCGTAATATTTTTTTCCCCTCTGGCACCCAGATGATTTTGATGATTTCTGTTCTCGTGCTTCAAAGTTGGCCGAAGAGTCAGATGGAGCTCCATTGTTTACAGTTGCTGAAACACATTCCGCAAATTCAGTGAGACACAGCAATGCATTGGATGGCAGTAGTAGGTCAGTCGAGGACGATACCATCAGCACGGTGCACGTACCGATCGAAGAGGGGGCGCATGAGGATGACTGGCAATTTCTCTGATGAAAAGAAAGACCAGTTTTGAGATATGGGAGGAGAGTCAGTAATCAGTACGAGTCATTCTTGTTTACTGCTCTAAGGCTTCATTGTGGCTAATATTATGTGAATGGCTTTAGTTTTATTTAGTGTTATCTGTGGAATAGGCATTTAAAAGTTATTTTAGATTTTAATTTGTTGAATTTGTTTATTCTTGTTCATTTTCCAGATGGAAATTAGCCCACATTTGAGTGTATAATAAATAAGCAGTAGGTTCTATTCCAATTCATAAATGAATTATTAACGACAGTTGGTGCAGTAGGCTATTTCTGTATGCTGAGTTATTTTGCATGCTAAACTTACTTTTAATAGCATTTTGTTCATTTTGCACATAAACTGATACAGTATTTATATATATCTTTTTTTTTTCCTCGACGGTTTGATTTTTGTAGTTTTTTTGTAAAATTAAATGTAAAGTTTAAATTTTAGTCACTAAGGCCACATTTATAATTTTGGATTGGTGGAGCTCTTGTTCTTGTTTGATTTGGTGGGATTTTTTTTTGCTTGGTTTGTCGGCCTGTTCGTGGTCCCACTTTTTTGTATTTTCTTAATGGAAAATTCTCTCCAATAAATTTAGTAGGGGACTAGTTCATTTTGAGATTCTAATTTTAACAATGTGTATAAAATTGAAAAAATGTTCACTTTTGTTTAGAGTCTAATCCGGTTTGAAATAAGCCTAACTGAGAATTACATCATTGCTCATAGTGAGGTATTTTTAATAAACAAATCAAATAACATTCTAAAAGGGGTGCAAATATTTACATTGATTATTTCAACTTTGTATTAAAATATCATTCCAAAATCTCATCTCTCTCTTTCCACTTTAAATCAGGGGATATTTTCAAAATCTTCTCGATCCTCGGTAAAAAAAAAAGCATTTAAAATCATTCCAAAAGCATCCTGCTCTAGTTTCTATTATTGAAGCAGTAAAATATGTATGCTTACATTGTTCATATTCTGATTTATATACATTGTTCATATTCTGATTTATACTACTCTTAATGGTATATGAGAAATATGCTAAAATATCGGTTTTACTTTTCGGTTGAATGAGTTTGATTTTAGGTCATTTGGTTCTATTTTACATTCTGTCTAATATACCATTCAATTTTAGTTTTATATTTGAGTTCTGGACAAAGGACTTTATTAAAGAGAAGAGTTTTGTATTTTAGAGTTATATACCTTTGGATCTTGTTAGTTTTATACAAAAGTAATCTACTTTGTCAATGTGCTATTTTATAACCTACTAGTTAGTATTTACCAATAATATGCTAGTATAAAGAATACATATTTATAAAAAACCGTGTATGTTTATGGAGAGTTATCTTATTAGATTAATACGGTATATATTATATAACCTAATAGTTTAGTATATAATATATATCTCTTTAAAAGTCGTATAAGTAATACTTATTTTCCAACGAATAATTCTCTTTTCTGATGAACATTATATATAATATAACCTTTTAATAGAATCTACTCTATGATAAACATTTATATACTCGTTCAATACCTTTTATTGCTATATACAAAAACATCACATTAGATAATATACACCTTGAATAGTATATATGCTCTACATATATCAAAAATATACCCTATATTAACTGCATAGACCTATGTGGAACATATACCCAACATATGCTCCATTAAAACATAACATATACTCCATAAAATAGATCATCTCTCTTTCTCATTTGGAAAGCCCTAGCTTCCTAATATTTCTCTCTCCCTTTCATCTTACTCTCACCGCCCACCCCCTCCTCGCCAGACACGACATGCAGCGACGCAGCCCATTCATGCGACAGTGACACAGAGCTCGACGACGTGAACCCTTGCAACGGCGGCGACCTTCTTTGCAGCGGTTGTTAAGCAATGAGAGTAAGAAAAGAATCACAATGAGTTCTCATCATGGAGATTTTCCCATTTGCTTGATGCATGTGAACAAAATAACAATGAGTTATATACATCTCACTGCAACAGAATTAAGTTACAATAACAAATTCCATATCAAATCTAACTAACTTTACATATAATCCTAACTGATAGATATAAAAATACAACATAGTAAAATGTATCAGTGATTAGTAGAAAGAACATTGAGATTGAATGTAAGGCGTTGGAATGAAGAGGCCAAGAGGGGTTTTGTAAAAATATCAGCGAGTTGGGCAAAAGCAGGAAGATGTTGAACGAGTAAACGTTTCTAAAGAACAAGATCGCTAACAAAATATACATCTAGTTCAACATGCTGGCTTCTAGAATGAAGCATAGGATTTGCATTGAGATGAACAACCCCAATATTATCACACCACAAGACAGGAAGAGAGGTAGAGATGATGCAAAGTTCTATTAGCAATGCCTTCAGCCAAATAAGTTCGGAAGAAGCATTGGCTAAACTACGAAATTCAGCTTCGGTACTAGATCTGGAGATCATGCTCTATTTCTTTGAACCCCAAGAAACAAGATTGCCACCAAGCATAATACAAAATCCAGAAGTCGATTTCCTATCACTGAGATAAGCACAAATATTCAGATAAGTGAGTTGCTTTAAAAGAATACCAGATGTGAACAATCCTTTTAGATAATGCAAAATGCTTTTAACTACCTGCCAATGTGTGAGATTTGGTGAATGCATAAATTGACACACCTTGTTAACACTCTAAGAGATCTCGGGTTGAGTAATAGTCACATATTGGAGTGCTCCAACAATACTACGATACTATCAAACATCTCAAAGAGCTTCGCCTCCATAGGCAGGCAAAACACCACCACTAACCATTGGAGTTGAAATGACATTAGCCTCAAACATATGAGCTCTATGTAGTAGATCAATAACATATTTAGTTTGAGAAAGAAAAATTTCACCATTTGCAGGAAAAGACACTTCGATACCCAAGAAATAGTTTATTGATCCAAGGTCCTTGAGGGCAAATTGCTTATACAAAGTGGAGATAAGAGTAGATGATCTTGTAATGATGATATCATCAATATAGATGAGAACATAACAGCGAGTGTCATTATTATGTCGAAATAATAGCGAGTTATCAGCTTTAGAACTGCGAAATCCAAGAAAAAAGAGAAATTAAGATAGCCGATCAAACCATGCTCGAGGTGTAACAACCCGTATTTTCTAATACGGTCATTCTTCTCATAAGCTAAAAAAAACAATGGAAAATACTAAAGATTTCAACTCCTCATGCCAGAACGCTATTTCTCAATCACTATCTGAGTAGTCACTTGAAACTTCATCTGAAAACATTTATAATACAGAAAAAATGAGTACAAAAATACTCAATAAGCAATTTCCATATCAAACATTGAAATTCATTTTTTTTTTTCATTTCGAAACATTTGTAACAAAAATACTAACCGATCAAAACTTTCAAAATTCCTTCTAAAATATTTGGTACAACTTTCAAACTTTCGAATAACTAAATCATTGAAACATTCAAAATAATGTTACATTCATTCATACTTTCAAAATCAGAGTGGGAGGTTGCATTATTTGGGTAGCCTACAGAACATATGTGGTTATCTGTCGGTAACACTAATCAATCAGAAGCTTCTATCAGAGTTGTCAAATTAATATCGACTAGAACAAAGTTGTCGAAATAATATCGACCAGAACAAACAGAATGATTACTTAAGTGTGAGGCCATGTGAGTGAATAACACACATATGAATCTTTATTCTCAAGGAATGCTAAATCACAAAGTGTTTTCCCACAAATAAGCCAGAACAGAAATCCATCAATTCCAAATTAGGCTACTACCTCAAATAAGCAAAACGTTCCTCAAAACAAAAGTATGACATATCCAGATAGCCCTATCAAATCAATCAAAATATATTTCAAATAAAATGCAAAACAAATACTTACTTTCAATATTAAATTAATTCAAAACATTGAACTAATTTAAAACAAACTTTATCAATCCTCTAAAACATGATTTCAAATATTTCACAAATAAACAAAATATCAATTTCAAACCTTTAATTAAATATAAACAAAACTTTATCAAATCATATAAGAATATTTCAAATACTTTGCAAAAAAAAAAAAGCATAATATCAATTGCCAAATTAGTTTTCAAATCCATAATAAAACGTCAATTTCACATGCAAGATAGCAATTTCAAATATTCATATCAAATCCAAAATACATTTTAGTTTTGGAAGAGATATGACAAATCACTTGCAACACTTTTCAAAGGGATATGACAAATTACTTATAATACTTTTCGAAGGGATATGACAAATTACTTACAACACTTTTTGAACGGATACGGTAAATCACTTACAATACTTTCTAAGGGATATGGTAAGTCACTTACCTTTTTCGAAAAAGCCTACAAATCTAACTTAACTTTTCCTTGGTAGTTGTCAACTTAGAGGCCTATAAATAACCAATATCCAAAATCAATCCTTAAATTCTATCCAAGGATTTAAAATTCAACCAATTACTAAGCAAATCATATCTACTCAATTTTCCCATTCAAAACACTTTTTTATGCAAAACAATCACGAAAGTATGGATTTGAGGCTACAAAACCAGATCTGAAAACTGGGTTAAAAAAGCCTCTAAATTCAACAATAACAAACTTTAAAATTACAAGAATCGGTATAAATCAATACGAACTAAATTTACAAAAAATGTCTCAATAAAACAAGCTTAAAAACCTTCTAAACAATTGAAAATTTTGGGATTTTAAATTTGGAAAATTTTCTGTTTTATAAAATAAAACTTCCAAGAATTTTCCATAAAACAATTAACAATTTACTGATTTTTTTTATAGAAAATCAGATCTGAAAACGGTATAGAAAACCTTTAAAACTTGGTAAAAACATATAATTTTTCATGTAAAAATCATAACAATAAACTATAGTTTATGAGATACAAATAGCTAAACTTTTTATGCAAAAAGAGTATCAAAATAGCCAAAAAACAGTCTCATAAACAAAAAGATTCAAACCAAAATTCTGGAAAATTTTTAGGTTAAAAAGTCTTTATAATCTTTTATTCTAAAAAACAAAGAACTCAAAACTTTTCCCAATAAACTAAAATTAAAGAACTACAGATCAAGAAAAATAAAACTAAAACAATGAGGAAGAAAAACTTACCGATCTTTGAGAGAAAATACCAAAGCTCTTCTTCTTTTCTTTTTCTCTTGGAGAAAACTAGGTCTAGCAGTTTAAGAAAAAATAAAACCTAGGATTTAAGGGCTTTTATAACAAACCCTAATGAATCCTTTTTTAAAAAGGATAACAT